TTACGTTTTTTAAAATATATTATTAAAAGAAAAAATTAAATAAAACCAATGCGGTAAAACAAGAAAATCCAATCCAGGACCCGCTGCGCTAATCGGTGGAGCATTCGAGTCTTCAAATGATGAGTTCCCCTTATCCTTTCTTAGTTTAACATTCAATCAAAAATGTATTAAATTTTTTTCAGAAAAGTTCATCAATGAGAATGGCGGCGATAAAGCGCAATATATAGCTGCATCGATGTCCCTTTTCCAATTTGCCAATAACCGCAAGTAATTGAAAGCACGCAACAAGGTGTAATAATTAACTTTTTATGCTTAATTTGTATGTGTTATTGTGAATTTGTATGCTAAAATGTCTATTCCCTATTTATATTTTCGCGACTGTAGATGAGTCCGCGGAAAATTCGCATTTCGTTTAGTTTCTAGATGTTAAGCAATCTATGTATGAGGTTTTAATGAAATATCTTTAAATAAAGGGTTATAAAAATGTTTATAAAAAGCTTTATTTTGAAAATTTTTAGTAAGTTTATATTGATACGCTTATATAAAACTTTTTTTGAACCTTTATTATAAGTTTACACTTTTACGCTTATAAAAAGCTTTCTTTTGAACATTTATTACAAGTTTATATTTCTACGCTTATAACCAATGTTCCTTTTCGATTATATTACGCTTACTTTCAAGCGTTTTATAAACAAAAAATCAACGTTTTGTAAGCTTAATGTTTATAATTGAAAACTTAAAAAAAACTTTCTTTAAGTTTATTTTGCTTGTTGGGTTGTGTTTGTGCTTGTGTGAATATGTTTTGTACATACATTTCCATTCTTATTTGAAGTTAGTTTTGTTGTTGCCATTCTTTGGACTAAAAATTTGGTTTTTTGCGTTCCTTTACTTTTCCTGTTATTCTCTTTTAGTGAGCGCATTTTGCTTACGCTCTGGCATTTTGACACTTCAGATTTTAGTCCAAAAAGATAAGGAATGAATCTATTACAACGAACACGTCGTTTTGACATTAAGAAGTACCGCGGCGAAAATCTAAATTCGCCATCAACACCACCAAGGCGAATTTATACAAGTGGTGTTGATGGCGAATTAAATTTTCGCCGCGGTACTACTGAATGTCGAAGTGATGTGTTTGTTGTAAACAAGGCGAATTCATTTTACAACAAACACATCATTTTGACATTAAGACGTACGTCGGCGAAAATCAAATTCGCCATCAACACCACCTTGTATAAATTCGCCTTGTTTGTGGGTGAGAGATCTGAAAAATTGCAATTTTGTAACTTTTAAAGTATAGTCATCATGGCCTTTTTTTGTCGTTGCCGTTGACCGCGGCGATAGAAATAAATCTATCGTCGCCAACAGTCATCGAGCAAACTTCGTCGTTTGCTTTGGTTGTGCGCGTTCTCATATAAATCAGTGTGTTTTAATTATTTCGGCGAACATTCGCGACGAAAAATTTGCCGTTCGCCGGTGTTGTGCTTCAGCTTTTATGAAAGAAGTTGGGCGACTTTGACATTAGCCGTTTGTTTACATTTGTTCGTTGTTTACAATTTGGTGGTGGCTTTTTGCTGCAATTTTCTTAATTTTCGCTTATGACAACGTGCATATGTTAGTGTTTGGCCGAGCTTCTCCTCCGATTTGTGGCGTGCGCCTTGATGTTGTCACACAAAGCGGAGGGACCTAAAGCATCGTACAGTTCCATAAGTAAAGTAACTCTTCTTCTTACCGTTTTTTCTGGCAGGCTGTAGGTGTGTTTTTGGCAGGCTGTAGGTGTGTTTTTGGTTATTGTATTTGTGTTTTTGGTTCAGTGTGTTAGTGTATTTTGAATAAATTGTAATAGAAATAAATGAAATTGTAATAGAAATGAAAGAAATTGTAAAAGATAAGAGCACATGCCAAAAAACAGGTGATCTCAGCTGTAGGCATATTTTGGCAATCAGCTAATAGTGTTTTTACTTATGAAACTGTACGATGACCTTAAGCTGATGCCAGATAAAACTTTGTAGCTTTGCGTTTTATAAATTTGCCAGCACAGCGCCAGACGCAAAAGGTATGCCACAATGAACGCCAAGAAAACAATTTTGCACTGCTTTTTTACTCGTCAAAATTGCTGTGGATTTAAGATATTTTGCTTTAAAATTATCAGCAATGTAATTGAGTTTTATGTTTCAGCATGAATACTCGAATTTGGACGAAACCAAATAAATATTAAACCGGCTGATTGTCAAAGCGCGCAAAAAGATGGGAGTTGGCCATCTTTTCGCTTCGCGCTGCAGCTTCAATGATCTATGTGGCATGCTTTGTGCATTTTCATACAATTCATCTTAGCTGTCAAAGCGAATCTGTCACGTAAAGCGAAGCAAACGTTTTATGTGGCATCAGCTTAAAGTTTTACGCCGACCGAGGGACGACCGCTGTTAAGAGAAAACCTTTTTTCTATATTTTTTTTGCGATGTTTCTTTGACCTGGGCTTGAACCCAGGTGCTGTGGAGTGGAAGCGCGCTCTGCTTACCACTACACTACAGCGGCCACAGAATGCGGCATATTTTAAATAAAAAATTAACGAAAAAGATTTATGATGGAAAACATTTTGAATATTGTGAAAAAGTAAAGTACGAACACTTCTGTGAGTGACTGTATGTATTATATCAACCAATTGCAGTCGCCCAGTCGATCCCGTTGTGCCAGTGCATATTTGTAAGTGAAAATTTTTCTTCTGCCTAGTTTTAGTCAATAACTCATACATTTAATATACCTTTTGGTTTTTTTCAGAGTACGTTTAAAGTTTTTTGTAGATATTGAGTGTAATCGTGTAGAAATTGAAATCAGGTGCCGTGTTTTTGGATCTGATTATCTGATAAATTTTTCGCTGGTAAGTATGGACAATGGTCGATCCGCAGCCGGTAAGATACACAGGCTCTGACGTGTGACTTTTTCGTTCTATTTGAAGTATGTACAATTATTTGTGCAGGAAGTAGAAAATGGGCAACAATCAAACGACCGGGCAGAGGCCGCCGGATCCGCCGCCGAATCAGCAGAACAATGGTATGTACATATGTATGAAATAATTGTGTTCAATCTATAGTGCAACGCATAGAGTGTTGTTAGGGCCAGTTTTTCAGTGCACGGCAGTGTGGTTTAAGCCGAAATTAGTCGAGAACGCAGAACGTATACTTAAACGCAGTCTGTATACGCATAATTTTGTCGATTACTGGAGCCCTCAGTGTTGCTTACTACCTCAGTATATCCAGTAAAAAAACTGTGGTGAAGTCCTTTATGGGGATAAAGTTTCCAGAGGTGAAATTTTAGGTAGCACACAATTTCTTACACGCATGGTTGCTTTTCAGCACTCATGAAAGAAACTTAAGAAATATTTGAAAAAAAAGTTCATATAGTACATTAATTTTGAAAGAAATACCATATAATGTATGTACTCTGGTTAATAATATCAAAAAATGTATTAGAACCACCGTTTAATGTTATATTTGATTCAAATTAATATTGCTGCCCCGAACGCTCTGCGCCTTGCCACTGAATAATAGGTTTACTTAAAATTACATCCGTGGTCCTTGTTCTTTCTGTATCGCATCGTGGTGAATTCACATTTCTCAGAAATTTGACAACAAAACAAAACAAAGCGAGTATTTTATTTGCTAATTTTTGCGATTTCTATTGTTTAATGTAAATTTGTCTTTTTAGGATATGTCGAGCCAACGAAGAAGGCGCAGTTGGAAAATTGAGTAATTAGTAATGAAGTAGCAGGCATATTTGGAAAATTATGCCGATAAGCAGGATGGAATTTGGGAAAGTAAGTGCATGGTTGCAGCATATCTATGTATAAAAAGTATTTAATTAAATTGTTTATAGAAATGTTATAAATCGAGTGGCTCATTTACGATGTGCTCCAAACATTTGGCGAACTTTTTTTCGCCTTTTCAGCGTGCTAAGTAACAAGTTAAGATGACTGCCATCACGGCCGGTAAGAAACCGCAAGCAAAGGGCAGACAACCTTCCAGGAACCTGCCTCCTGTCCCCGAGCCGAAGCTGCAGTTCTGCAAGAGCAGGTCAGCAAATTGCTACCCTGATCAAACGTAAACTAAAGCGCACTGCTGTGATTGCACTCCGTAAATGTGAAAACTTGGTGCATGCTGAGAAATATCAAACAAGAAAACTCTGTGATGGACGCCGTGAGATGGAGTAGCGCTGTGTGGCAAAGAAATACGGCCAATTCGACGGGCCTGAAAAATCCAAATTGGCTTTTGTGATCCGCATCCGCGGTATCAACAAAGTTGCACAAAAAGTGCGTAGTTTTACAGTTCTGTCTTCGCCACATTAAAACGGTGTGTTCATCAAATTGAGCAAGGCAACCATTAATATGCTACGTATGCCGAACCCCCTATATGGGGTTATCGAAATCTTAAATCAGTTTGTGAATTGATGTACAAACGTTGAATGGTCAAGCGTGTCCCAATCTCTGCTTTGTGATCGAACGCAAATTTCGCGAAGCGCACGAAATTCAGTGCGTTGATTCACTTCACTTCAAGAAAGCCCCCAACTTCCTGTTGCTATTCAAGCTCAACACATCAACCCGAGGCTGGCGCAAGAAGGCTAATCACTACGTTGAGGTTGGTGATTTCGGTAGCCGTGAGGATAAGATCAACAAATTGCTGCACAAGATGGCTTAAAGAAATTGTTGTTTTGTATTTAAGTAGACAATATAATTTGGCACATCTTCAAAAGACGCCCAAGCAAAAAAAAAAAAGAAAATTAAAAAATTCCTGAAGTTGTCTTTTCACGGGTCGATTTCTGTCGACTGGAAAATTTACTTAAGATATCGACTAGCCAAAACGCTTATATTTTACGGTTGAATTGCAATTTACACGGGTAGATTTTGGTTAAACGACAAAAATCGACCGTGTAAAGGCAGCTTAAATAACGTTCAAATTAATCACCCCCTTTGAGATTGAAAATACCAATAACCATTTCATAATTTCGAAAATTATTCCATTTATATTTGTTCTTGCATTTTCCACACCACTTGTGAGGTATGCTTTTACGCGCGTTACCGATTTTTTGTTTAATGTGCTCGGTTGCCCAGGAGGCCTATTTTCACCTTTACAACTTAACTTAAACAGAATTAAAACTAAAACATGCAATATATAAAGAAAATTAAAAGTTGTCTTACATCTAGTAAACTTAAAAAATTGCACATTAAATTCATTTTTCATTATAAAATAAAATTAAATATCACAATTCAGTTTACAAAATGTGGTCTGTTTGCACCCGCAGTAAGTTCCCATGAAGCCTAGCCTAAATTCAGAATTGAAAAAAAAACGAGCAAATGGGGTCGGAAACTACTAGCCCTAAAAGCATAATGTGGAAAATGTTTGAAGAGCTGCGAAATTGTATTGCAATAATAAAAATAACAGTGCATAAATTGGAAAAAATGGTTTTTGTTTTGCTTTATAATTTTTGGGAATATTGGTTCAGATGGAATTTTTTTATTTGTTTGGTTTTTCAGCTCGTTAATGAAGCACCCAGGGTTGCACTTACTGTCTATGAAAATGTTTCGTGAAGCGTTCCAAAATTAGCTCCGAGCAACTAAAAGTTGGTTAAGCTTAAATGAAATAGTTTTTTATTAAATATTTATTCCTGGTATTTAGTAAAAAACATCAATACTAATGTATGAAAAACAAAACATC